CCATAAAAGAAATATATATAATAAAAACTTTTATTTATCACCTTGAGACCACAAGAATATTTATGTAACTTTTAAAAAACATTGATTGATTTTTTCGATTGAAAAATGCTATACTTTAAGCTTGAAGCAAAGATCATTATAATGTAATTTAATTCTGATAAAAAAATATATGATTTAATTTCGATTTAAAATAAATAAATGTTCAGAGGCTGTATCAAAAGTTTGCACAAAATATAACTTAAACTTATTTTTATAACGCAAGTAGAGTGCAGCAATTATTTTATAATAAATGATATACACAATGATATAATTTTAACAAATAGTGTTTGGAAAAATGAATCGCTAACTTAAAAAAGGGATATGTTCTGCAAAAATTCACATAACATGTCCCCTTTTTCAAGTTAGCAATTCAAATAATCTTCGCTTCCACAACAAAATCACTATTAAAATAATAAACTTTTTATCAACAAAGAAGATAAATTAACGTAACTTTTAAATTTGTTACTCACTAATTTTTTATAAAATAAAAAATCTTGGTTAGTTGCAAATTTTTTTAAACGATTATTTAAAAAATAATTATTTCAAAAAATTTAACATATTTTAATTCATTTATACAAATGTCAAGAAAAATAATTTATTTACTTGTTTAAACAATATGAAAACTTTTTTTAAATGTAATATCAAATTTAATTATTTAATATAAAAAAAAATGAAAGAAAATAAACATTTCCTAATAGTAATAATAAAAAATGAGTTAAGTAATATTTAACTCATTTTGCTGTAATTATTATTGCAGTAAAAAGTTGATGTTTTTAAAAAATAAAAAGATAAAGAGTATTTTATGACATCAAATTCACATTAAGCTGATGTGTTAAGTATTTTAAAAAATTGACATTAGGCTAATGTGAACATTTAACGTTAAGTATTTTTTATTTAAAACAAGGCCTGCTTATCAATGTCATTTATATTGGTTCAGAGTCAGCATCAAACCAGGATTTGGTGCTCTTGGTTCTGAGCTAGAACTCTAACCACTGCGCCATGGCTACAATGATGATACCACATAAAATATAATTCATATTAAAAATTGTTTTACCTGTTGATTCTATAAAGGCACTTTTAGTGCATAATTCTGTTTCTTCTACTGTGTTTTTAATATACTTTTTTTCATAATAAATAAAATTTTGATCAGTATTCTTTTTTCGCCTTCGTTGAGGTAAATGAGCAGTATGTTTATGCGCCTTTTCAAGTAAAAATTTGACTGTTTTATTTACAGCAGTGAGTTTTCTAGATGTTTCAAAACTCTTGATTGTCTTTACATTACGAACTATATCCTTGTCAAGATCAACCTTGAGGCGCTTTCTATCTTTTCTGTAACTAAAGTAGTTTTTTTTGTACGGATTATCAACTTCAAGGGAAGAATTTTGAACTTTACGACTGGATGAACGTGTTTTAGGCTCCAAAACATATTTCTATCAGAAATAAAATGAAACAAAAAACATTTAAGTAATGTATATAATTATTAGGTCTACCAGAAAATTCTGTCCATTTTCAGAACATTTACGCTTGTCTTCATTACAATCTTTCAGTTAGTAATGAAGACAAGCATAAAATAACTTAGAGTTGATTTGGCACGTTTATATGAATAGTTTAAATGATAAAAATAATGAGCTAAACATGGATTAAATAATTATGTGCTAACGCGTTGAAAACTGTTTTTATAGAAACGGACATAACTTTCGATAGACCTAATACAATTATTTTTGTTGTGTCGTATCATCTTGACAAAAACATAGAGTTATTGTAATAAATATGCAACATTACAATTTCTCAATATTTTTATCAACATCATAATAATTTTTGTTTTCTTTTGATTATTTAAATTATATATATATATATATATATATATATATATATATATATATATAAATATATATATATATATATATATATATATATATATATATATATATATATATATATATATATATATATATATATATATATATATATATAAATATATATATATATATATATGTATATATATATGTATATATATATATATATATATATATATATATATATATATATATATATATATATGTATATATATATATATATATTATATATATATATATATGTATATATATATATGTATATATATGTATATATATATATATATATATATATGTATATATATATATGTATACATATGTATATATATACATATATATACATATATATATGTATATATATATATATATATATATATATATATATATATAAGGCTTCCAATATATATATATATATATATATACATATATGTATATATATGTATATATATATATATATGTATATATATATATATATGTATATATATGTATATATATACATATATATACATATATATATATGTATATATATACATATATATATGTATATATATATATATATATATATATATATATATATATATATATATATATATATATATATATATATATATATATATATATATATATATATATATATATATATATATATATATATATATATATATATAAGGCTTCCAATACCGAACCAAAAATTAAATACCGGTTTTTCGGTATTAGATTTAGTGAAAACTGATATATACCGGTATTTATGAATAATCCAAAAAATATTAATAAAAAGAAGTAACAAAACAAATGGTTCTGAAACTTTATTATTTATGTTAAACTAATATATGAAATTAATTCATTTTAAAAAAAAAAAAAACATTAAAAAAAAATTATTTTTTATTGAAATAGGCCAGCAAAAAACATAAAGTATTTAAAATTTCTTCATTTAAAGATGATCAAATTTTTGTACATTCCCGATGAAGAGAAAGCCCGTTCAGTTTCTACGCTTGTTGGGAAAATAGTTATAATATAATCATTTACCAACTTTAAGTTGGTACCACATGTACCGTCTTCCTCAAATATTGAAATTCCTTTTCGTATCATTTTAGTCAAATCGTTAATATTTCAATTTGTTTTTGGTACTATTTTTGCTATTTTCATTTTTATCTCATTATTTATGGCCATGTCCTGCTGCTTCTGAAATGTCAAGCTCAAAGGTTTGTCTTTGCACACTATGGTATCTTTGTCGTCATATGTTTTGGGCAATGCTGTAACTTAGAAAGATGAGATAAGATGGACAATTATTTACCAAAGCAGTTTTAGTTAGCTGATCAAATATAATATCTGAACCAAAATTATTTTGAGTTCGATCACCTTTATAAAGAAATTGCATGAGATAAGATAAATTTGTGTTCCTTTCTTATATTCTCTTAAATAAGGAGGCCTTTATTAGGGATTCTTCCCAGGAATTCTTTCCCAGGAATTTCCCGGGAAAAATAATAATCTAAATTTCCGTAGTCCCGGGAAATTTTTTCCGGGATCCCGGGATTTTCGAACATACATTTTCTAACTTTCCCGCCAAAATCTAAAGTGTTTTGTTTTCCGAACCATAAGAAACAATGTCTATTTATAGTTTTTACGTATTGAAATTTATGACAGCAAATTAGAAATTAAGAAAAATGCCTTTAAATCTAAAAATTTCTAATGTTTGGAGTTATTTTGATTCTTAAAATTCAAACGAGACACAATGTAAACATTGTCTAAAGGTATTATTATGCAAAGATGGTTTGCCTGTTGCATTGAAAAGAAATTAGAAAAAATCCACAACATAATTTTGAATAAAGAAGACGAAACATTAAATAAAAAACGTTGTATTCAACTAACAATCGATTCTATGACAAAAAAAAGTTTCATTAGGTGAGCGATTGGCTCGCTTTGCTGCTACTGATGGGTTTACTATATGTGCAATAATTAAATCAGATCAAATTTGTGAGTTTTTTTGTGATAAAGGGTACACTCTACCAAAATCAAAAACAGATGTCATGAATCTTTTAAAACATTTTAAAACATTATTCTAAAAATGAATTTGGACAAAGGCTACTGCTAATTTTGGATTCAAAAACTCGTTGGAACTCAATGTTGTCCATTATTCAAAGATTCATTAAAGTTAAAAAAGCAGTTTTAAATCTCTGGTTGATTTTACTTTAGAAAGTCTAATGTTATTTGATGATGAAGTTACAGTAATTGAAAACTTGTCAAAATGTCTAGAACCTATTGTCTTAGGTTCTGAAATGATTTGTAGAAGGGAAGCAACATTATTAACAGCTGACGACACATTAAAATTTATGGTTAAAGAACTTGATGTTCAAGATTACTACCTACCAAAGGATCTTAAAAATGCTTTAATTGAAAGAATACGTCAAAGAAGAAAAAATGATCTTTTGGTTTATTAAGATTTTTAGATAATCCACATTCTCTAAAAAATGATATGGATGGTGACTTATTTCGCATCCCGTCTAAAACAGTTATGATTAATTTAGCTATTGAAATATCTGGTCGACTTTTTCCAATAATTGAAAATACAGCAAAAGAAATATATGGCGGTAGCAAAGTTAACAATAGTGTTAATATAAATCAGGCATACGAATCTATGGCTGCTAGATTAGAAAAATTTGTAAAAAAAAAGGATGACTTTGAAGTTAAGTGTAATAAACCAACTATGCGCCAAGAAATTAACTTGTTTGAAACGACAAATAAAAGATCGCATAGTTTAGATATGCTTTATAATGCGCTTTTAACTATTCATCCATCCAGTGTTGAGGCTGAAAGGGTGTTTAGTTCAACTGGATTTTTATTTACAAATTTTTGAACTAGATTAACAGACAGTCATCTTAATGCACTGGTGTTTCTAAGAAGTCACTTTAAATTCAAAAATAGTTAAAAAAATAAAGAGAAAATAGAAAAGTGTTGTGTTATTTGATTTTCCTTAAAAAAAAAGTTTTCCCGCTATCCCGGGAACACTTAATATATTTCCCGCAATCCCTAGTCTATATATTGTTATTTAATGATCCTTTGCCCAAATTTTGCAGCATTAATGCCAAGGTAGTATCAGCTGATAGAAGATTAGCATCTCTCCAATATAAAGCCTCTACAGCCAATTTCACTGGTAGGAACATAAAAACTGTTGATAATATCACTTCCAATTCAGATTCTGTAAAGTTAATAGCTAAATTTAAGTCAATCAGGGCTTTTTGAATGGAATTTTTAATTTATAAAAATGCTTTAGAATAAAAAGTAAGCAGTTCCATCTGGTTTTATTCTCTAATATTACTGACAGTTCTTTACCATGTTCAGTGTTTACATAAACATGAATGATTTTATTTTTGTCGGTGATCGTCTGAACAGCTTTACAATTTTTCTAACTTTGCTTATCAATAGAGCCAAATTATTTGCAAGTTCATTTGAATTTGGTGAGCTCTGAAAAATCCTTAATCCGTCTAAATGGTCTTTATTATATTTATCTGAAATCTCACCAGCACTATCTTCATCATATTTAAAACAATCATCTGTCGAGCCCACAACTGTTGTTTTATACAAGACATCAACCACATCCAATTGGATTCCATGGGTTAGAAAAAGTTGTTGGTTGATGGACATTAATTGTCAACTTTCTTCGTAACCGATGCGCCATCCGTGATAATACATACGATATCACAATCAATTTCTAAGTTGTGTTCTTTCAGTAGGTTTCAATTAACACACATTTCTGCTGGGAAATGTCCATTAACTTGTGCTAAACCCAAAATCCAAAATCTATTTTGAGAATGAACATTAATGTTCAAATAACGTCTATTTTTTACAGAAGTCCACTCATCAAATGTAAGACTAAATCGGTTTCCTTGCTGTTGAAGTTCAGATAATTCTTTTATTATCGAGTTTTGAATTTTAGTATCATATTTCATAACTATTTGGCAAATGGATTCGGATGCTTTTGATACATTGAAACCTCGAGCAATCAGCAAGTTTTTCATTGGACGTTATAAAAAACCTGAATGGCAAGCCATTGGTGGCCGTCGTTTTAGTTAAAACATTTGGCTGAAAATAAGTTGAAATTTTATTTGATACTTTCGCGCAAATAACTCTCTAAAAACATCCGTGTATATATATACATATATATATATATATATATATATATATATATATATATATATATATATATATATATATATATATATATATATATATATACACACACACACAGATATATTAATTAAATGGTATTGTAATATATTGATAATTTTTAAAATTATCATTTGTATTATTTTAAAAAATTCAATTATGTAAAATAATTTTTTTAGTAAAACATCTTGTTTTACGGATGTTTTTAGAGAGTTATTTGTTTGCGCAAATAACTCTCTAAAAACATCCGTGTCCAAACTTGCACGAAGTCTCATTAAGCAAGTTCTGTCCAATAAGAAAAATAACTGAAATACGGGTATACAATGGTATTGAAGGCTCAGTATCGGTATTGGAAAAACGACCAGTATACCGATATTCAGAATACCGGTATATATATATATATATATATATATATATATATATATATATATATATATATATATATATATATATATATATATATATACATATATATATATATATATATACATATATATATATATATATACATATATATATACATATATATATACATATATATATATATATATATATATATATATATATATATATATATATATATATATATATATATATATATATATATATATATATATATATATATATATATATATATATATACTCACACACACAGATATATTAATTAAATGGTATTGTAATATATTGATAATTTTTAAAATTATCATTTGTATTATTTTAAAAAATTCAATTATGTAAAATAATTTTTTTAGTAAAACATCTTGTTTTACTTTGTTTATTAAAACTAAATTTTCAAAATCTAATTAAATTTTGGTTGATTTGACATCTTTACATAATCTACTTTATGTAATAAAATGACTGTTAGTCATTAATTATCAGTAACTCTGGGAGGTATTATAACACTTATAATACATACATGTTATAATACCTCCCTTTACTATTAACTAAGCTCTGTGTCACAGACATAACTTAAAGATTCGTTATAGAAATATTTCTAAAAATGTCATAAAAGGCCGAGAAGCATTAGGGACACAAGCCATATGGCTTGCTTAGCAATAAAATTAATACTAATGTTTAATATATAATAAAATTATTATCGTAACAAATTTAAATATAATTAAGTTTTGATTATTCATGGATAAGCTGTAGTTAGAGATAACAATCCCATACAAATTTTTGATCTAGAAACTAGTTGATCCCACAAGCGTTTAAATGCTTGTGGGATCAACTAGTTTCTGGATCAAAAATTTGTAAAAAAAGCGTTTAAACGCTTGATGAATAAGCTTTTTTGGGAAACTGAAGATATATAAATGTAAACATTCACAAGTTAAAAAGCTATTGGAATTTAAATTTGATTAGGACTTGATAGGAAAATGTATTTTAGGCCAGTAGGAAAGTGTATTTTACTTTTAAATAAAAGACTCAACAATATTAAAATAAAATTTGAGGACAATATCATTTGTATTATGATAGATGGTGCAAGATATCATCAATTATAATTATTATTATGATTAATGGTATCTTATAGCATATTGTTGCAAGGGAGTGATATTGCATTGACTGAAGGTTTGGCATGGGGCAGCAAATTTTAAAAAATTGTTAAAAAATTAAAGTGGCAGAGTTCCCACTATAATTTTTAAAGTTTTTCCCTGAGTATTTCCTGAGTAAAGAACGTTTTTCCCTGAGTTGAACTCTTTAAGTTCCCTGAGTTTTCCCTGACTTTTCTATATTCTTTCCTGTTCATCGACAAGATTATTATTTTCCTAAATTAAACACAATCTTTTGACAAACTTAAACTTTAACAAAAACACCCACATCTTGCAAACTTATTATTATATATATCAGCAAAATAGTTTTGAAAAAAAAAATTATTGTACAAAATTTCAAAAAAAAAAAAATTTTCCCTGAGTTTTCCCTGAATTTTATAAAAATTTAAAAAAATCCCTCAGTTTTCCAGGTTTTCCCTGGGATTCATGCTATTTCCAGGTATTCCAGGTTTTCCAGGTTGAGTAGCAACCCTGAAGAGCCCCATAAGCATAAAAATTAATTTATTTCGTCTGTTTAACGGTAGGGTTACCATATTGTACTACCCTTAATTATGGGTATTTTCAGCAGTTAATCATAAAGCTTTAATGAACTAATCTTATTCAATGCCATGACTAAACACAAACTATATTTACAATGCATTTTTAGACCTTGTCTAAATGAGAAAGGGCATTATTAGGAGAACCTAAATATGACAACAATATTCTATTCAAAAACAAAAAAACTTTAGAGATATAGAATTCAGATGTATATGAACTAAGGACATAGTAAGTATAGGAAAAATTGAGATACTAACTATATAATGGATTAGATATATGGCTTCCATTGAAGGTTTGTAGAAAAAGATAATTCAATAAAATGTAATAGAGGCCGGTAAAAATGTTGCCATTCATCAATAAAAATATATCAGCAATGCTGTGACATAATTGGCACAAAATAACTGACTTTTGTTAGGGTTTTGTTTTGGGTTTGTATATACGGTAAATACCTCTATATGATAAATACTTTACAATATTTTCGATAACATTTATACACACAAAAAAAAAAGTAAGATATTAACATTTTTGAAAAGCACTACTAACCGTTTTAGAAAGCTAATTCAATTAATGGAAATAAGAATTTATCTATAACCTTATAAAAAAATCGTGCTAACCTTTTTAACCGGAATAGAAACATCTATTTCAGTATGATCATTTTTACTAAAAGGTTCATCTTTAATTTTATTATTGCAGTATCCATTTTTTGTATCATTATCTTCTTCAGAAGAAGAGTTACCAAACAAAGCAACGTAATCATCTTTCGAAATAACCATTGGATTTACACTTTCATCATAATGAGCTTCAGACTTACAAACAGTTTCTAATTTATCTTTACCTGGAGAAGACGCGCCAGGAAGTTTCATACGCGCCATTTTTTTGTTTGTTTCATTTACGGACATTTCTTCAAACGAACAGTTGTTACGGTGAATTACCTAACGGTAATCCGACGTTGTTGTTTTTTTTTTTTATTTGGTATTGGTTTGATGTAGGATGTAGGATCTGGATACAGATCAAACTCACTTATTTCATACATTAATCACATGTACTAAGTTACAAATAAATGTGCCTTTACTCCCCTTTCCATCCAAAAAAAAATTTTAATAAAACGCTTTTAACAAGTTTTTACATAGCGCTTGTAGACGTTTTAGAGGTAAAGGTGCTTTTAGTTTTTAATGATTTAATTTTTAATTAAATGCGCAAAGCTCGCGCTAACGCGCACATCAAACTTTGGACCTCTTGTTTCCGAGGCTATTGCTTAGGGGTCATCCATAAATTACGTCATGCAGTTTTAGACATTTTTTGACCTCTCCCTACTCTACCTTCCACCCTCTCGTAACGCATCCGTAACATTTTATTTCCCCACCCCCTCTAATATTACGCAACAATTTTGTATCCCCTCCCCCATTCCTCTAAAAAAAAAATTATGTGTTGTAGGGGGATGGGGTAGAAAATTTTACAAAATACAAAACCATTTTAAATATAATATCTATAATTTTCTGAGTTTTTTCAAGTTAATTAATTAGTACTTGTAAATTTAATGTTTTTTTTTCACCCCAATAGTTCCGAGTGAAATTGTATAAATTAATATCGCTATTCTAAACATGATACCAATTTTAAAAACCTATTCTTCCGATATATAAAGCGTGAAGTAATTTATGAACAACCCCTTAGGGGTCTGCCATAAATTACATCACGCTGTAGGAGGGGGGAGGGTTAGTAATATTGTGAGGACTCATACGGAACTTGTTACTATTAAGGAGTTGCAATGTTGTGACGAGGGGGAAGTGGTCTAAAACGGTCAAAAATTGCGTGACGTAATTTTTGGCGACCTCTCAAATAATTTCAACATCGCTTGCAATTTCTAAATTTGTATAATAGCAAATGTAAGTGTCTTCAAAGTTAGTTTAAGGTGTTACATACCCTTTATTAGCGCCCATTTTAATTTTTTTCGCACTGTGAAACAAACTTTTTAAATATAACTTTAGTAAAATATTCTAACAAAGTTGCACTTCTGCTTTTTGGCCTCTTATATTGAATCCATTTTTTTTTTTCCTGCGCTCTAATACAATGATGTATTAAGAATATTTTTTTGTTATTTTATTTGTTATTTTTAATATATCATTGTTCTAATATCATGCAAATTTATACCTATGTATTAGGTTTTCTAATCAAAATTTAACTCAACTGTTTTCTTGTGAACTTTTCAATTTGAAGGAAACCCAGAACCCAGAAAGCCAGAAAACTTTTATTACTTTTTATTTCAGTTTTATTGGAATCAAAATGATTAATTAAAACATATCTAATTACATAACTTCAGCAGTGCAATCTAAAATTGTTTAGGATGAAATTCTCACATAATTTTTTTTATTTATTATGTCCGAAGTAAAGCAGCATATTTTTTTAGTTATAATGGCCGGAGTTTTATACCAAAAAGATTTTTTGGCAATTTCAACGATCATCTCCAATGCAAAATACCATCAATAAGTAAAATATATTAATATCTTCTTTAAAAAAAATCTTATAAAGAAGAAAATAATGTCTTAATTTATTAAAACTGAAGAGCGAACTTTGAGATTTTTTAAAAGGAGAAAAAGAATATCCATTTTTTTAAATAATTGAAGATTTGGATGTTCAACAACTAAAAATAACTGGAACTTTAACAAATTTATAACCAGATATAAAAACTCAAAATACAAATTTCTACAAGTAAAGAGACAACTTATGCAAGTAAATATTTTCACCATTAACAAGTTATAAAGATAAAAAATATAAATCATATTATTGAAATATATTAAATGAAAAACTAAAAAAAAAAAAAAAAGAAAAAAAAAGTGATTTGTTTACCACACCGTCTTGTTTTATTGCATAATTATAATTACGTCGCAAAACAAAACTATAATTACATAGTAATATTATTTTTATGGCCAAAAGCATACTATTAGTATGCTTAAAATAACGAATGAACCCATGGTACTTATAGAGAATAATTATTTGGATAATGACAGTATTGATGATTATGAAAGTGATGTAGAGAAATAAAATCTGCCAAATTTGACTTTGATATAAAATTAATGAGAACGCAGAAGCAAAAAATGCTAAATATGAATTTAAAAGCGCTATTTTAAAATGTTAACCCCATAAATGCTAAACACAAACCAATAGTTAAAAGCGGCATTCGCAACATTACCAAGCAGCAAACCAATAGTTAAAAGCGGAATTCGCAACATTACCAAGCAGCAAACCAATAGTTAAAAGCGGCATTCGTTACCAAGCAGCAAAGAATATCTGAGCAAGAGTTTCTTCAAAAGTAAAAATTATTTTAAATCAAGCTGAAGGTCAGCTGGATAATCATTACGGTCAATTTAAAGGTAATAAGTTTTCTCATGAGGAAGTATCAAACTTGTCCAATAGCTTTTACAATTTCGAAGATCAATCTAGTTAATCCAAATTCATTTTACGACATGTTACGCAATGTATTGACAGACGTTTTTTTAAACCAGAAATGAAAGAGTAAAAAAAAACTCAAAACAATTATTGCAAAGAATTACCTCAAAGCGATGAAAGACATATGTGATGAACAAAATTGACGCCAATAAGTTTTGGCAGCATGCATGCTGTCAACCTTTAGATAAGAGTGGCCTTTTTCCATAAAATTTTGATGATTTTATTTAACTCTTGCATGTTTAGTCGCATACAAACATGCCACCAAAACTTATTTGCTTTTGACAAATAAGTTTTGACGAAGAATAACCCAAACAATTATGTTGCTTGGGTTATTCTGATTACCTTTCGAATGGTGCAATATAATAATATAATAATATTTAGTGACAACTAACTGAAAATAATCATTTTAAAGAAACTTGTAGTAAAAATAACTTTAACTAAAAACCTTCTAAAAAATAAATTAATTTTAGATGTATCAAAATTAAATATTTTGTCTGTAACTGGATATTAATACAGTAAACTCCCGGTTGTTTGAACTGGCCCTGAATTTTCTTTAAAAAACTCATGCAAACATCCACCAGTTATTTGAACCTGAAGTTATTGAGAATTTCGTTTATTTAAAGTAGTTTTTCTCTCCTTAATAAACTTTTCATCGGTTATTTGAAGTTTTTCTATGGCTCGAGATACCATTGTATTGCATTTTGAAATATAACTTTATCGAATGTAATCAAAATATTATAGATAGATTCTAAAAATACTACTTAGAAGTCTGGACGAAAAGTTAAATGCCGAGAGTAGGAAAGTTACTCTAATCATAGATAACTGTATAGTTCATCCTAATCTTGACAACCTCATAGCAATTGAATTGATCAATAGCAATTGAATTTTTACCACCCAACACAACTTCTATTACAACCTCCAACACAACCATAGGATCCGGGAGGCATAAGAGCATTGAAGGCTTTTTATTGCACAAATGTTGTGTCAGATCAAATATATCAATGGTGGTAAAACGTCCCCATAGATTAATATTCTTAAAGCTATGAATGTAATCAAAATATTATAGATAGGCATATACACCTGAGCATGTTGTTCAGGTCATAGTATGACCTGAACAACATGCTCATAGAACATGACTCATAAGACGCTATTTCGACAAACATTTAAAGAATTGTTTTAGAAAGGCAGGTATCTTGCAGAAAATACTGATCGCAAATTGCTTGAAGAGAACGTCAAAGAGCAAAGATCACGTGTTTTATTAGATAAAGAATTAGCTGTTGACGTTAATATAGATTTTGAGATCTGTAAAAGTTAAACAACTACTTTTATAGATCGAGAAAATCTGGATGCCATTTATATCAACGATTGTGCTGAGGTAGAAAAGGTCATTGGTGAAGTGTCACACAATTTGCCTCCTGAAAAGCTAAAATCATCAGAGGTTGCAGGTGCAATAGAAGTATCTGAATGTTTGTCTCTTTTTGACAATAATAGCGTCGAAATCCAACAATTACTAAGCCTTGTATCAAAAATGTTTTTGATAAATACTTTTTAAAAACAAAAAAGCAATCAAAATGGACAATTTTTTCAGAAATTTGTAGTAAATTTGTTTGTTTTTTTTTTAACCAAAATTTTTTAGAAAAACTGATGCTTTTTTCAAAAATTTGTAGAATTTATTAATTTACAAGTAAAAGAGTTAAGCAGCATCTTATTCCATCTTATTCCATTTTTCGTTCTTTTTACTCTCTATTTTTGTTAAAATCAAAATTTAGCAGACGTGGTGCATTAGTTAGCGTGCTTGCCTCAGAAGCAAATGGCTTAGGGTTCAACGCGAGCTCTGCACATGTTTTCCGCTATTGGTAAAGAAGCTTGAATAATCTTAGTTATATTCCTTAGTGCTCCGTAACAAAACCGTTATGTCTTTTTTGGGCACCTAAAATAAAAATTAAAAAAACGTTTGATTGTAACTTGAAATAAGTTAATTTAAAGCGGATTTTTAGCTAATCAAAATGTCGGTTATTCGAAGTAAATTCCCCTAGTAGATTCGAATAAGCGGTAGTTTACTGTACCGCCCCCAGCTGGTATTTATAAAAGAATTCTTTTAAACGTCTTTAAACTGTTATTAATACCACCAATTCCCTAAAATACAATATTTTATCTTTTAACTGTTTACTAAAAAAATATATAATAAAAAAAAAAAAAAAAGTAGAAACATATTTTTTATAATATTATTACCAATAAAACTATCAACAATTTTTCTGGAAGTCTATGGCAACTTTTGTTTTTTCAAAAATTGCATCAATACCTTAAGTTATATATACCTTTTATTCGACTCTCAACAATTAAAAAAAGGTATCAATTATCACTCTATATAGAGTGATGAATGTGAATTCGTCATGTAGTGGCTAATGTAAGTTCGTATTCTATACGTTTGACGAACTTACATTAGTTTTTACTTTTGTAGGTTCATACCTAGACAAGTTTCTATTAAAAATTGGTTCACGTCGATTTATTTTTCTCCAACATTTTTGTCTGTCCTACACGTGTGTTTGCTTTTGCTAGTTTACTCTTACGCAGGATTACGTTAACAAATTTATGTGGCGAGCTTGTATTTACTTTCATTTAAATAAGTCAAAGTTTAGAGTAAAAGCACTCTAAACTTTCACTAATTTAAGTTTGCATTTACTTATTTTTCACAACATGTTTGCAGCCTAAAAATTGCTACTACGTTTTTAAAATTAGAATGAAAATTTTTGAAATTTAAAAACACTAAAATGGGCGATATTCAACCGACAATTTGGCAAATCATGACATTTTATCGTCATTGAATTAAAATCAAGTTTTTCATGCTTATCAAAAAGAAACCATCTGCAATATCCAATGCTTATGAGTTACAATATAATTTTAAAATGTTTATTTTATATGTCTTTCAGTTGTAAATTATTTTTTTATATGTCATTATCTCAGTTAGATAGTTTTGTAGTTGGTTCCTTTCTGTTGAATGTCGTCCGATTCACGTAAATATGTAAGGTAAAGCTTTGCAAACATTGAAAGCTTACAACGGCTTTTTTTGTGTGTGACTGATTTTTAGCTCGCTTCATTCTCTATTGCGCACATGTGAATTGCGGATGGCCGATGAACCCCAAGCAAAGTACAGAAAATTGGATTTTGTTTTGGTGCGTATCAAAATTATAATTCATCAAGGACCTCATTTAATTGCTTAAAAGGATTGCCAACGTTGTTAAAATACTGATAGCTGATATTGTTGTTAAATAGCTGATGAGTACAACCATACACATAAAAAAATAGTTATAAAGTTGAATGTAGATTAACTGAAATAAATTCATACTTATTCGATGTGTAGTATAAATATATATATATATATAAATATATATATATATATATATATATATATATATATATATATTTAATTTGTATTAAAAAAATGAATATAAATATGTGTATTTAAAATAAATAATAATAATAATATATATATATATTTATTTATATATGTATATATATATATATATATATATATATATATATATATATATATATATATATATATATATATATATATATATATATATATATATATATATATATATATATTTATAATTTGTATAAAAAAAATATAATTTATGTTTGTGTTATATAATTTATGTTTGTATAATATATGTATACGCACACATGTAAACACAAATAGTATTAAGCATTAAATAATTTACACAAACAAAAATAGTATTTAGCATCAAGCTAATCTGAAGTCACAGTAAAATAGGGAGCTGTGAGACCTTCAGTACATACATTGACTGATCTAGGGAGAACATGCATAGAAAGCTGCTACATTGACTAATGGTTTAAGTTGCAGCAGTAATCTACTGTTAGTTAATGTAGTAACTTTCCCTTGCAGATTTTACTTTTTTTAAATTATTGTTCATTTTTCCTCAAAAAAAAAACTGTATTCAGATTTGTGCTAACATTATTGTTCATCAAATGCTGATCTGTAAAAGTTTGTGTATTTATATACATGTATATGTGTGTATGTACATATATGTATGTATGTATATATATATATATATATATATATATATATATATATATATATATGTATATATATATATATATATATATATATATATATATATATATATATATATATATATATATATATGTATATGTGGCGGTATAGCTCAGATAGTTAGAGCGTTAAAAGAAAAGTTGAAACCCGGACTGTTGAACGATACGAATTCAAATTCCACCACCGCCAACTCAGCGCTTGAGTAGTACTTCGGTACGCAAAAATGTTGGTCAATAACGGACGCTACTTTGGATTAGTCTTAATGACTATTTGTGGCTGTTCCTATGCTAAGCCAACAATATCTTTGGATATAAAAACATTGTATAGAAAAATATGGCATGAAAAAAAAAAAAAAACTCAAATATATATATATATATATATATATATATATATATATATATATATATATATATATATATATATATATATGTATATATATATATGTATATATATATATATATATATATATATGTATATATATATATATATATATATATATATATATATATATATATATATATATATAAATTAGTAAAAACATTTATCTAAGTTTTTCCTGCGTGGGGTAGTTTGAATTAGAGATTAAAGCTTAGAGAGAAAGAAATTTAGATAAGTTTTTTTACTAATTTGTTATTGGTCTGTTCTTTAAGAACATTGAGCAAGTTAAAACCATGGTTTATATATATGTATACGTATATACACTACAACTATTTAAACTTTAGAATTGTCAATGTTTTTTATGCCATTTATTAAAATAGAATTTTGATTGTAAGGACAAACTTTCGACTCAGTTGAATAAAATCTTTGGTCTAATATTCTAAATGATTTCTCTGCATAATGTGCATTTTTTATTATAAGAGCAAAAATGTATTTCAATTTTTTTTTTCTCTTGAAATTATTAAGCTACCATTAAATAGATATGAGTACTTAAACAGTTTGGTAAGTTATGATAATGAAATATTTTTTTTTAATTTAAGTGTTAGTTTTTTGTACTATTACCAATTATTGATTTATAATGCTAGAGAAAGCTTGAGATTCAAATTTAGCTAACAGTCAAAAGAAATCAAAGAAATGATGTATGATATTTTGTTCAATCTAAATGATGTATGATATTTTAGTTTTTAGTAATTTTCAGTCTTTCGCAAGGTTTTTCTGGAGTGATTCCATTTGCTGACTTAATGCATTGAATGGTAACATGAACAGTTGTCATCTGAATTGTTAACTGAGTTGTTAACTGAGCAGCAATTGCTTGCTCACACTTGCTGTTTTCCATTGTACTTGATAACCTGAACTTATAATGATTGAAATACAACTAATCTAAATGTTTATTAAAATTTAAATAGCATATAAGATGTTTATCTGTTGGTTGATAACTATACAATCAAACACACAGGATACGATAGTTTAATTATGTATTAAATATGTAAGATTTTAATTGTTTCACTAAATATAAAAATTTACTTTTAATAGACATCATCTATAAATATGTCAGTTTGTGCTGCTCCTGTTCCGTTAACAAACGGGGATTACAAAATGAAGCCTTCTGCACCACTTGATGATAAATCAATGAAGGAGACCTCTAAAATAGAAGATATGACAAGTAAAGACTATTACTTTGATTCTTATGCTCACTTTGGAATCCACGAAGAGATGCTGAAAGATGAAGTTAGAACTTTGACATACAAAAACTCTATGTACAACAATAAGCACTTGTTTAAAGATAAAATTGTACTAGATGTTGGTTGCGGAACAGGAATTTTATGCATGTTTGCTAAAAAGGCTGGCGCAAAGCATGTTTATGGTATTGATATGTCATCTATCATTGATCACGCTCGGAAAATTGTTTCTGCTAACGGTTTTGAACATGGTACAAATTGTTTTGCATATAGATTTTATATTATCATTCTAATTAATTTGTATATTAGTTGTAATAAAGTTGTAATAAATTTGAAATTTTTTTTTAGATATTACACTTATAAAAGGAAAAGTTGAAGAAGTTGTTCTCCCTGTTGAAAAAGTTGATATAATCATTAGTGAGTGGATGGGTTATTGTTTGCTATATGAATCAATGTTAGACACAGTTATATTTGCTAGAGATAAGTGGTTAAAACCAGGTGGTTTGTTGTTTCCTGATAAGGCTTCCATGTATATAACAGCTATAGAAGATAGAGATTATAAAGAAGAGAAGATTAATTGGTGGGACAGTGTGTATGGTTTTGATATGAGTGCTATTAGAACTGTAGCTTTAAATGAACCTCTAGTTGATGTCGTTGAAAAAAATCAAGTTGTTACAGACTCTTGTTTAATCAAGGTATTGATTATGAAATTGGAAAAATAAAAAAATGATTTTTGTTTTGCATGGTTTTTAATATTAAAAGTTAAAGAATTTATTTATTTATTTTGTTTTAATTGAATTTTTTTTGTAAATTTTGTTTTTATTCTTATTTATACTTTTACATGAGTTATTATAGAACATTTTTTTTCTAATTCTAATAAACCTTTAAAAGATTAAATTAAAGAAAAATTGACCTGTTTTATTTAAATAAACTAGAATTCTTATGATTTTTTCTAGTTGAAAATTAATAAAGGGAGTTTCAAGTGTATTGTTAATTAACCAAGTGACAACTAAAAAAGTTTTAACTGTTTTAATCATGCTATTTTATAATTTCCACCAAAATAATATTGATTTTGATTCAACTATAGAATGTAAAAAGCTGTTTTATTAAAGCAACATTTCACGGTTTAATTAATAAAAGTAATTTAGAAACATTTTATCTAAACCCAAACTGATGTGGATAGTATAAAGGGTAGACCAACATCAACCTTATAACAACATTGTTCTAATGCTAACAGTGTAGAAGATTTTTAAGTATCTATTCTTACCTTGTATATGAAGTCTCCTCAGTCTACCCTAAACATAAATAAAATTAACTTTTAATTTTAAGATGCATTTTTAAACATCAAAATTTTATTTTTGAATACAAATTAGTAACGTATACATATTTGTTGCATTTCTAAAAGAATAATATACATCAAAATTATGTTTTTCAAAAAATTCATAAAAATATAAACTTAAAAAAAAAAATTGCCACATAATTTTGTTGTACAACCAACATTAGGGTAATAATTACTTTCAGTCACCTTTCCTGGTGAAAGTAATCATTAACCTAAACAAAAATAAGTGTATTACACCACTGTAGTGGTTTTATTTTAGTTAATTACTTTGTGAAGGTTGAATTTTGCTCTTTAATGTAAAATATTTTATAAACTTCAGAAACGTCACAGTTTTATTTTGAACAATATAGCTAGAAAAGTGTAATAAATGTGTAAATGTGCAGTTGTTGAGATTCCTTTTTTTCTATTACTTTGTTTTGTTTTGGGAAAAAAAAAAAATACTTTACACTGTAAATTAAGCTTTAGTATATTGGTGATCTTTTAATAGTAATTTCAAAGTTATTATTTTTTTAATTTAATTTATAAATATAAAGTGTATTATTATCAGTATGAATAAAGTATTCACAAAGTTATTATGTTGTTATAAAATATATGCTTATTCAATGTTTCTTTTTCAAAAATTTATAGAGTTTCATAAATAAAATCTTTTTATCCAAAAATAATTGTTTTTTAACTAAAGTAAAATACTAGTAAAATAAATCAAAACTACATGAAATTAGTGCTCTTTCAGTGGATATTAGCAAGTTGTCCAGCTATTTTTTATATTAGATATTTGCAAAATTTCCAACTAATCAGATTTTATTATCAGAATTACCTTCAAAAACCATTGGGTAAAATCTGCTTTGTTGTAGAAAAGTTTATTGCAACTCGACAGTAATATAAAGCATAAACTGCAAAATTTTCATAATTGTTCATAGCCTAAATTTTTAGACTTTAAAATTCTGATTTTGTACTTATTAAGAGACATGGTTGCTTGGCCATTTTTAATGACTGTTATTTTCTGTTTCTAAATTAAGCTATACAACAAAATTAATTTTTCTGAGTTTTTTTATTAAATGTGTGTAACACATATTAACTTTTTGTGTCATTAAAAACATCACAATTATTGTTTTTTAATATAAATATTGATTATAAAGCCTGTTTATGATAACAAACTAATTTTAGCAATTGTTTGTTTATATTTATTTTATCATAAACTTTCAATTAAAAAAATAGTTATTGTTAAAAATATTGTGTAAAAAAAAGCTACATTAGCATTTTTATATTTCAATTTTTTTGAATTTCTATTGCACACAACAAAAATGTAGATTAAAACCATTTTTTAAAGTTTTGTAATTTTATTGTTTTAAAAACAAAGTAAAATATATTCATTCCTTTAAAACTATAGATATTAATTTTATATAATTTGACTTTAATAAAAACAATTAACTTTTGTGATTAAAGTTCTATAAATTTTGATTAAATAGCTTTAGCATAGCTAATATAGTGTAAACATAATGATTGTCAATTTTGATGGCTTAGGTTGAATGTTCCTTATAATGCCATTTCTCCTATTTCTATCTACAGTAATAATAACTTTTTTTTTTTTTTTTTTTTTTTTTTTTTTTTTTTTTTTTTTTTTTTTTTTTTTTTTTTTTTTTTTTTTATATACAGTAAAATTTGCATAATGGTTTATAAAAAAAAAGTTTTTATTGGGTCACCAAAATATTTGTTTAATGACTCAGAGGAATTATATAATAATTTTAACAGTAAAAATTTGAAAGGATTTATAAAATTTTAAAACAAGATCAACCACAAATAAAACTCCAAACTAGTGTTAGCAGTACAAACCAGTGTTACCAAGGAGACAAGCAAGCTGAGTAGTTGTTGAAATTAAATTTGTTATTTTCACAATAAAAAGATCACATAAGTTTTTTTAAATCCTTAACCAGGAGTCACTTTTTTAATAGTATATATCTCACAAAAAGTTCAATACTAATGAAAAAAAATTCAGTTTAATTCAACTATTGCTGATCTTTTTTTATTATTACTGACTTTTATTGACTGCAATTTGTGAAAGTGTTATCAAAGATCACAGTTATCATGTTCATTTTGAGTAAATGAGACAATGGAAGACAGAGTTCTTAGGATTAAGGTCAATTAGAGTTATATTTAATATTAGGTCAAATAGATTGAACTACTTTTAATCGAATGTTACTAATAAATAAACAATTAAAGATCATAAAATCCTATTTTAAAAGTATTCACTTAGTTTCAACTGATATTGATGATAACCATGTTAAAAATGACGACTTATTGATGGAATTTGCTCTCTCATAGGACTCTGGTGAACATATCAACATCCAATAAAGTTTTCAATTAAGGCTGGCAGTTGCAGCAAAACCAGATGTTTACAAAGCATTGGCAACTTAATTTCCAGAGCTGTTGTTTTGTCTCTTGTTTTGTTTACTTTTACACACACAAAAATTTATTATGGAAACACAATTAAACAAAAAATACAAAACAGTTAGCGTGAACTTGTAGTTTCAAAGATAGCAAGGCAGATTCCATATATTGAAGGGTCTGAAATAACATGTAGTCTGAATAATTTTCAAATTTAAACTATTTGATACAGGTAAATGGGAAGATTATTTTTATCTTTGACCAATTATTACTTCTGGGAACTTTTGATCAAAATACCATTTTTTAAAATTTTTTAATGAGTTTATTATTGATCTGTAATTTTTATTTGTTTTTATTATTTCTATAGTTTCAGTTTTTTTTCAATGCACACTCAAGATAGCCCAAGCAACATTGTATTTTATGCTTTTGTAATTTCACACTTTAATATATTTTGAGAAATCTAAGGAAAAAATGTTTTATTTGTTATTTACATAAGCATTGTAAGCTATAAATATTTGCTTATTCAAGAATAATATTCAAAAATAAAATTTTTTTGTTACCGTGGGACCAAGACAGTGTGATTCGTCATGGTCCCATGTCAGGTAAGACAATATTAAATAACTCAATTTTGACAAAAACTGAGTTATTTAATATAACAAAAATTTTTTTTTTGCTAAAATTAGATTCTAAAATGTCTTTTTAAAAATGTAATTTTTTTATTTAGGAAAACATCCTGTCTTTTTTTAATGTGTGTTAGGGGGTTAGTTATTTTTTATTCGTAAGTTTTTTGATTGACTCCATTTTCTTTCATTATGCGCCACTCATTTTTTAAAATCGAATTTTGTTAAATGTTAAGTGATATACTCAGATATGCATATTTTTATTTACTCATCAAGGTACTGCCTTATCCTCACGCAAAATAATAATATTTTATCCTTAAAAAATATCAACTTGAATCACTATACTAACTGGTTGTCTTTTAATTTTGATAAAAACCTAATAATTTAAGCAGTATTTTGTACATATTGCTGATATCTGGTTAGTAACCCTGAAGCATCTTTTGCTATCCATATTTTTGGATTTAAAATATGACTCTAGTATGTTTTCCATAAGCATATGTTCTAATCATTTCTAATGTGTGGGTGAATCTGCTCAATTCTTCCTCTGTGGTAATTCTCTGAAAGCAAGGTTTAAAGACAGAATTTTAAAAACTGAAATTTTTTGAGTTTTTGACAAATTCTTAAAACCATAAAAATATTCTTGCACCTAAATAACATATTTAATGCCAAGTACCTAGTTTTTGCTTGATATACTTAAATACAATGAGAAGTGTATAATGAATTTACATGAATAATTGTGATACTGAGTTTAGTCATTTTAACTGAGATTTAAACATCCTGTTTCGTGGTTCTAGTTTAAAATTTTTGTTTACTTTTGTTAATTTTTATTTTTTCAATTAACATAATTGAAAACACTGTATGCAATTAGTTTAAACAACAAAACACTTGACACTATTTGGGTTGACAGTAATTGCCTTTAGACAATTTTCTTTGTGTTGATGGACTTATTAGTATGTGTATGTGCATATATGTGTATACACACACTTAAATATTTATATAAGTTAATAATAAATACTAATATTTATATATAAATATATGTGTATACACACTTAAATTTTTATATTTACTTTCGTTTATAATTATTTTTCAGCATAAAAATTTAAGTAATTTAACTTTAAAATTTTTTCTACAATTTTTTTGTTTAGTTTTTAGTATTTGCAAAAGCTGTATTTATAAAAACTTATATTTAAAATTTTACATTTAGGACATAGATTTATCTACAGTAAAAGTGGAAGAGTTAAATTTTAGTGCCCCCTTCACAATTCAAGCTAGAAGAAATGATTATGTCCATGCCTTTGTTACTTATTTCACAGTTGAATTTTCTGCCTGTCATAAACGAACAGGTTTTTCTACTGGTATGTAGTAATATTTCCTTTAACTGTGTAGTATACTTTTCACTCACAAATATTTGTTTAATTAAAGGTTGTGGTGTGTTACAAAATTAGCTTGGTTTAATTAAAAGTTGTTAGAAAGTGGTTTAATGTTTTTGGTTTTATGCAATTTTATCTTTCAATTAAAGTGTTTAGCTATGCTCATACACTTAGAAAATTCATTGACTGTAAATTTAATTAAATTAAACAAAAGAAGAAATTCATAGCAATAATTTTATAAGTTTCATTTTAAAATTTAAAGTCAACTTTGATTTTTAATTTTCAAAGAAGCATTTTTGTAGTGAAATGAAATAACAATTGCTGGACATTATTAGGTAATGGTAAAATTCAGAAGCTGTTTATAGCATAAGAACATTATGTATGAATCCTTATAAAATGGTTTTGAATTTTTATTTTAACATTTAACAAATAACATAAGGGGGCATCTCTAAAGTACAGTCAAATATATATGCAGTATAACCACTGATATAGGACTTATCCCCTCGTCCCTCTTTTAAGCAATTGTATGCTTTTAACTACCTCCCTTGCCTGCCCCTCTGCGTATGTATGCAATTTTTATTACAAAATCAAACCCTCCCCAAAGCATAAGTTTTTCAAATCATTAAAAACAAAAAACTTTTAGTTGATTTGACATGTTACATAACATAATTTTGCATTTTTTAACTCATGAAATTTTTTGTTTAAAAAAAATCAGTTTTTAAAGAGAGAATGAGAGATCAAACTGTGTATGCACTCGCTTTCTTTATTCCTCCTCCCCCTCCTACCTTGTATGTTTCTGAACATGTTCAAGTAACCCCCTCCCTCCACACCTGTGTATTTTTTTTATGGAAGACCCATAATGATTTATAATTAGTTAATATTAATAATTTTTTTAATAAGTAAAAAAACATTGAGTAAAAATAAAGTAAGATAAATTATTGAATTATCTGCATTTTAATGAACATTTGTTGTGAACATATAATTTGACCAATCAACTTCAAAAAAAATGATGTCAGTTTAAGTAGCCAAATCGATTTATCTACTACTATATAGTAATAATTTTTTTTTTTTTTTTTCACAATAAGCAGATTTTTGATGCAAGTCTACAAAGTGAAATTTAATTTAGCGTACTTTTGTATGCTAAATTTAGAACTTTTGTTCAAGATGCAATTCCTAATTATTCATGTTTTTTAATTTTTTTATCTTGAACTGACAAAATAAATTGAAAATGACTTGAGCAAGCAAAAAAAATTGAGCTTTAATTCTAACCCGATATTTATAAACATAACTTAAAAAGGTGCCAATAAGCGCAGCTAGATTTTTGTGCATTTATTTTTGTAGTGAAATTTCGAAACAAAAAATAAGGTTAGAACTCAATGTAGTTTTCGTTGAACTCAACCAAAAATAGTACAATTACCATATTGGGACCTTATTATAAGCCTCAGTGATTCAGCCATTTTACAGGCTTTTTTCTCTTTTAAGATAAGTAAAAACTAATTAAGATTTTTTGAGGCTAATCTAGTTAGATTAGCCACACAAAATGCTCTAGGATGCACTAAACATCATCTTTAGGGTGCACCAAACATTACTCATTAAATATTATTTTTAAGTTGCACTGAAATATTCAATTAATGCTTAAAAGAAAACTAGACAATTAAAAAATTAAAAACCCCATTTTGTTTATTTTATAAAAATAAAAAAAAACATGCAATTACTTTAATTAAAAACCAATTTGACTAACAACATGCAATATTTTAACAAGCCTTTTTGGCTTTTTCTACATGTAATGACATTCTTTTAAACCGTCTTTTCATTTTTAAATAAAGAATACTGTCAATTCTCATAAAATTTATTTCAAATAAATTATCATAAATTTCATTTTAAATAAAGAATACTGTCAATTCTCATAAAATTCATTTAATGAGGTGAAAGAAAAATGTTTGCTCAAAATTCGATACTTTAATGAACCTTTTATGCTTGCAAACTTTCCTTAATAATAGTTTAAAAAATTTATAAATAGTTTTTTAAACAAAATTGATAAATGAAAAATGATTAGTAACATTACTTTCATTATTTCACAATGTTCAATATGCAATTTTAAGATATTTGTTGTATGTGTTGAAAAATAGACTCAGGCTGTTTAAAAGAAGACACTACTAGAACAGTCTTGTTATATGAAAAAACAAAATAAGAGAAAAAGTGTAATGAAAAAATAATTTGATAAATGTTTTTCAAAAATCGTTAAAAAAGAATATCAATCAAATTTTTTAGAGTTTGAATAAATAAAAATATTTAACAACTTATTCTAAATCAATAGATCCCCAGGTGTTGGTGTTCACCCATTTTGTACTAAAATCATTTTCTGGGGAACTTCCATTACCAATTTTTTTTATTCAGAGAAGCATTAAATAAAACCCAATTACTTTTTTTAAAGTTAGTTGTATTGAATGATGTGTAATAATAGAATTTTATTAAATGCTTATTTGTTGAATTGGTAAAAACTTAACTTAAAAATTATTTAGCCTTAAAATATTTAATGTTAAAGTATTTTGGGGGTTAAAACTATTTACTATTTTAATGTATTTTGGAAATAAAATTGGAATATAAGTTTTTAAATAATTTTATTTTCTGCAATTTTCTCCTATAAAGGTATGTTTGATTTTTATCATATATTTAGGACCTGAAAGTCGATATACTCATTGGAAGCAAACTGTGTTTTACATGCCTGATTCCATTACAATAAAGTATGGAGAATCTATTCGTGGAGTCTTTGAAGTTGAACAGAATAAGAAGAATAAAGTAAGAAATTTTTTGTTATATAAGTACTCTTTTTTTTTTTTTTTTTCGTTGTATGGGTATTCGTTCTGTGTGTGTTCTCCAGACCCAGCTTGTTCTTAAATATTTTAAATACTTCCAAAATCCTCTCAAAGAATCTAAAGAGTGTATATGTAAAATATAGAATATGTTAATATAGCTTTGTTGGCGATATTTGAAGAACATTTTTTTACTTTATTTTCTCAAATCTTCGGGTAATCAAACATTTCCCATTGAAAATAGTCCACTTTTGTTTTAACTGATTATTTTTTCAAATGTCCGTTTTTATAAGATTTTCAATCAGGGGGTTTGTTTCGTGCATATCCTTTTTAACTATTTATGTACGCAAAAAATGTACATGCACACACACACACGCGCGCGAAAACTTATTTAGGGATATTCAGACAGTATTTTCTTTTTTTAGCGCGATCTCGATATCAAACTTAAATACGAATTTGACGGCGAGTTGATGTCTGTTGCCGATACGCGAGATTATCGTATGAGATAGTTTAACTACTTTAACCAAACGAATTTGTATATGAGTTGCGGTTACGTCTACTGGTCTGAAAAGCTGCAAATTTTACTGGGTATCTCTTCTGACAAGAAAATCTTACAATTTGCGCCGTATTTGTAAAGTGAAGCATCCTTGTCTATGTAATATGTTAATTTATAGATATTGCTTTCTAAAGTAATTTTTCTGATCCAGGCAATTTCGAAACTAACATTAAGAGGGTATGTACGATTCTCGGGCTTAACGTTTTATTTTAGTAAATTCGGTAAAGGACGCGTAATCCCTACTCTTTTCTTATAGCTCTCTATGAAATATTGTTAATATGATAATCATTTCAATATAAAGGCATTTTAATTTGGAAAAAACCTTTTCCTTACATTTTCATCGGTTTGCATAGATGAACCTGTTCAGAAAGCTTCAATGCTTGAATTTTTATACGAGATCTTTAACGCAGGAACTAAATGATATGCCTATAGGGTATTAGCTTATGTGCTAGTGAAATCAAGTAAAAATTGAAAAATTCAGGATAATAGCGTGATAAAAATGTTTTCTTTAAACTTTTAAGTTAAATTCTTAATCGATCGCTAATCTATCTTTCGGATCCCCATTAAATTATTTAGATCAGCAGTAGGCCACTGTTTAGTATCCTCTCCCCTCCAGTATGCTTTTAACGAATCTTTTCTCTGTGCGCGTATCTGTTATTTATCACAAAATAACTCCCCTTCCCCGACTGAAATTCTCAAAACCAAAATAAACTTAATTCGAAGTTCCTGTTACATACGTAATATTGGTTGTTTAAATTCGTGAAATTCAATTTTTTAAACCTAGTTTTAGGAGTGCCAAACAGCGTTTGTATTAGCTTTTTTTTAACTTCTTTCATATGTACGCTTTTGAGTAAACATTATCCCTCCATACCTTCGTACATACTTTACGGAAAACCCTGAGACCCAAGAAACAACTTTAAAGATTGTCTTCTCCCACCTTTTAAATGTGTTCCATATATAAAAATATTACTGGAATTTGAAAAATTTTCGGGGAAAAAAGAATTTTTTTAAGGGTAGCTTAAGTCCCTTAAACATTAGACGGGTCCTTGACATTATCAACAACAACAAAAAAAGTTATTCGATAGGGGTCAGGGCAATAACATCCGTTTTTGCCATGTATAATAACATCTGTGAAACAACATCCCAAATTTCATTGATGTATAATAACATCCCTGCAACTACATCTGTAGTTTTTTCGGATGTAACTACATCCGAATTTTTTTTATTAATGCATTATTTTAACTAGATGTAGTTACACATCTGATTTTTTTCGGATGTAACTACATCCGCCAAAAAAAAATATTATAATGCATTATTTTAAGCATAATAAATTTTCTTTTAATTATTTGATAGACTGCCTGCCCAAACCAAACCCTCAGTCGATGTAGTAGCACTCCGTTGCGAGTCAGGCTATTTGTCAGTCGATGTAGCAGCACTTTTATAATATAATAACTATATATGTAACTACATACGGAATTTTTTTTTTAATAATGTGTAATTTTAACCAGATGTAGTTACACATCTGATTTTTTTCGGATGTAACTACATCCGGGAAAAAAGTAATTTAAAAATGCATTATTTTAACTAGATGTAATTAAACATCTGATTTTTTTCGGATGTAACTACGTCCAGAAATTTATTTTTTATTTTATTTTTAATAATGCATTATTTTAGGCGGATGTAATTACACACCGAGAAAAACTCTCGGATGTAGTTACATCTTTCTAAAGATGTTATTAGACATCGATGAAAGTTCGGATGTTGTTACACAGATGTTTCTCAGTAAAGAAAAAAAGCGGATGATCTTACACAAAAATGTGCGAATGTTATTTCACTACTCCACGGATGTTGTTGGACAGATGTAGCAATCTTTTCCCATCGAAAATATATTATCTTGGTTCTCAAAAGATGCGAAGTTTTATAAATTACAAAACCATTTTGTAAAAAAAAATTATTTCAAAAAATTTTACTGTCTAAAAAATTACATTTTTAACAAAAAATAAGAATATGCATTTTTACGATAGCATTTTTTTTCTAATGTTTTTTACAAAATAAAAACTATTTTTAAAATTTTTATAAAATTTCGGTTGTTTTGAGACCCAACATCATGATATACTTTTAAAAACTTTTTTTTTTGATAATATCAGGGACCCGCCTGATGTTTAAGGGGCTTGAGCTACCCGTAAAATAAATTTTTCAATTATTTTATTATATAGAACAACAGAGGGGGAATGCAAACAATTTTTTAAAAAATTGTTTTTTGGGACACCTTATTCTCTTTCTCTCAGGGTCTTCTTACCTAATAAGAGATACTCAAACCAATTTTTATAAAATTTCGGTTGTTTTGAGACCTTTGTTGTTTGAGACACCCTAATTAGAGATACTTGCGTGTGTACTCACTGTCTTTAATACCCCCTCCTTGCACTTATTCATACGTATTTGGGTAACCCACATACCTGCGTACGTACTTTATGGAAAACCCCTAACCCCATTCAGATGTTTAAGTCATTTTAAAATTAAAAATTATCGCCTAGTTAGTGTCTTAATGCCGTTGTCCTCCATTTACAAAGCACTATAAAAATTAGTCTTTTGGATGCCTCCATAAGTCTTTTTAATTCATAAGAAAGTGATTAAGAATTATCCAAAACTGTGTAAAAGGTTTACTTTTTGATATTTTTTACATGTTTTATTTTTAATTATAATTTGAATCTGTTGTAGAGTAATAAAAAACAGTTTGAGATAAATTAAAATAAATAAACTTGTCTTTTTAACTTCATTATATATTTTTTTAGAACTACTACAAACTTTTTTTTTATATATATATTCTTAATTGATTTAAAAATTGAAAATTTGTTATGTTTGTTTTGTTATTAAGATAGGACGACTGAATAAGCGCGAATTTCATAAGTGCAAACTGGCATAAGTGCGAACTGGCATAAATGCGAAACAGTTACAAAAACTGGCACAAGTGCGAACTGGCATAAGTGCGAATTAGTGTAAGTAAAATTTTGCCGAAAAATTTTGCAAACATTGGCATAAGTGCGAACTGGCATAAGTGTGAAGCAGTTTCAAAAGATGGCACAAGTGCGAACTGGCATAAGTGCGCCAAATAAATTTGCAAACATTGGCATAAGTGCGAAATACTAATTTGCACTTAGGCCAATATTCGAAATTTTATTCGGCGCACTTATGCCAATTCGCACTTATCCCAGTTCGCACTTATGCCATTTTTTGTAACTGCTTCGCACTTATGCCGATTCGTACTTATGTCATTATTTGCAAATTTATTTGGCGCACTTATGCAAATTCACAATTATGCCAGTTTGCACTTATACCAGTTTTTGTTACTGCTTCGCACTTATGCCAGTTCGCACTTATGCCAGTTTACACTGTGCCAGTTTTTGTAACTGATTTGCACTTATGCCAGTTTACAGCCTCCCGATAAAGATTTATATGATGATTTGTTATTAAGATTTAACTATTTTGTTTATTTAAATTATTAAAATTTGTTAAACAATGTGTTATTCTGTTTATATGACAACAATGTATTATCGAAGGACAGATCGCATCAGTTGCATCAATGCCATTAAATCAACGTCCAACCAGTGCTATGTGTTTTCATTCCCAGCCAGAGCTCTGGCTGACTACGCGAGTCGAACAGCCGCTCATAAATCAGAAATCTCTACTGCCAACTAGACGTCCTAGATCGATATCTAAAGCAAAAATAAAACCAATTCAGCCGAACTCTTCACTATTCCACCTAGCCATCTACGCTACTGGGCAAACAACCCATACTCACTCAATTTTGACAAATGCCAAAAGTTGTTGGCCAGACTCTCTGCTCTGCCTAAATCTAGTTGGCCACAAGTAATATTTTTTGCGGAAGCTTGGTTTACAGATTTCTTAGACGTTGCCATACCCGGCTACTAACCTCATCGCAAAGACAGAGAAAATAGGGGTGGTGGAGTTGCCATTTAAACAAAAGTCAATATTATAGTAGATGAATTTAATTCTACTCAGCTCAACTCAACATCAATTCAGCAAATTTGGCAAAAAATAAAAATGGGCGAAGAATCGTTTCTCCTCGGATGCATATATTGTCCTCACGACCTTAATAATCAGGTTCTTACTCAGTGTGTCATATCAATCACGGCCACTCGGCAGATACTGCCAAATATAAACTGCTCGACAATGCTACTATATGGAAATTTCAATTTCAGCCATACATCTTATGAGTCTATCGAAGTTAACGGTGGCATTGCAACAGTTGCCCACGTGAGAGATGAGCGTCACGTGAGAGATGAGCGTCACGTGAGAGATGAGCGTCACGTGAGAGATGAGCGTCAAGGTGATATCAGGACTCAAATTATCTTAATCACAAAATGTTAGAAAGTCAATTTTACTCCGTTTCTGAATGTTCGCAACATCTTAAACAAAATAAAAGCACTTTTTCAATTTTAAATATCAATAATCGAAGTTTGAATAAAAACATTGAAAATTTGAAAATATTATTAAATGAACTTAAACACGATTTTAAAACTATATGTCTGAAGGAAACTTAGTGTAAAAGTGGTGAAACAAATTTGAACTAGTTAATTACGCATCAATTCACCAACCATGTGAATTTAATGCAGGTAGGGGCGTTAGTATTTTTATCCACGATTCACTTAGTTATATTTTACCTAACGACCTCTGTGTTAATAAAACAGATTGTAAATCATTATGCATTAAATTAGTATATAGAACTGAAAAAAACATAATTATAAATAATATTTATAGACCACCATCTGGTAACATGAAAAAGTTTAAAACTCATCTTAAAACATTTCTAAACAAAATTAAAAATTCCAGGAAACATATTTACTTGGTCGGGGATTTTAACATCAACCTAATCAACTATGCTTCTAATAATTATGCTAAGAATTTTATAAATACTCTTTTAGAAAATAACTTTATTCCAACAATAAACAAATCAACTAGAGTTACAAAAAAGTCTTCTACTCTACTTGATAACATCATAACTAACAGTTTTTATAACAGTCCTCTTTTCACAGGTATAACTCAGACTGATTTATCGGATCATTTTCCAACATTCTTAGCAACCAATAATATTTTAATAAACAATATTGTCTCAAAATCCACAATATGTCGGCGACAGATCAATGAAAACTCCTTAAAGCATTTTAAATGCTGTTTAAAAAATAATGTTAATTGGAATTTAATTTTGCAATCAAGTGATGCTAACAATGCTTATAACTTGTTTCTTGGTCAATTTTGCAAGCAATAGCGTTTCCAGAAAAAAAAAAAATCATAAATACCAAATCACTTTAAAGTCCCTGGATGTCAATAGGCTTACTAAAATCTTCAAAAAAGAAAGAAAAATTAAAAATTATCTTAAAAAAAAAGTCTTATAAAAATGAAATAACTTATAAAAATTACAAAAATATATTAGAAAAAATAAAAAAATACTCAAAAAAGCTTTATTATGCTCAGTTATTAAAAAAAACCAACGGAAACACTAAAAAAGTATAGAATGTAACTAAGGATTTAATTGGAAAAAATAATTATAAAAAAAACACTCTGCCAAAAAATCTTTTAATAAATGGAAAATTAGTTTATGATAAATCTATTATAGCTGAAGAACTAAACAACTACTTTGTTAATATTGGTCCAAAATTGGCTGCTAAATTTCCATCTAACTCCATTCCTTTTGATACTTAAAAACTTATGACAAACTTATGGACGAAACTAATTTAAAACTTAGCGAGCTGAGAGCTTCATTTAGCAGTCTCAAAAGTAAAAAAAGTGAAGGTTTTGATAAAATTAGTATTGATATTGTCAAATCAGTATTTGATATTATTGAACCTTCTTTATTTCATGGTTTTGATCTTTCATTTAAAACAGGTATTGTTCCTGACAAACTAAAAATTTCCCGTATAACACCTATTTTTAAATCTGGTGATAAGTCAAATATCTTAAACTACAGGCCTATATCCATACTCCCTTGCTTTTCAAAATTGCTAGAGAGAATAATGTATAATAGGTTATATAATTATCTAACTGAGAACAACATGTTGTATTGCAAGCAATTTGGTTTAAAAAAAAAAATTCCACTGAACATGCAATAGTTAAACTTTCTATTCAAATATCTAACGCCTTTGATAATGACTGTTATATATTAGGAGTTTTCATTGATCTGTCAAAAGCTTTTGATACCGTAAATCACAATATTCTAATAAAAAAATTTGAAAACTATGGAGTGAAAAATAAAAACTTACTTTGGTTCAAAGGGTATCTGACAAACCGAAAGCAATTTTTATATTATGATCAAAATAACACAACTCCATATTCCATAACTTGCGAGGTTCGTCAGGGCTCAATTTTAGGACCACTCTTATTTCTATTGTACATAAATGACTTATACCTAGCAACAAATCTTTTAGACCTAATTTTGTTTGCAGGTGATTCCAATCTTTTTTATTCTCACAGAGATATTAAAACACTTTTTAAAATAGTTAATGAACAATTATGTAAAGTTAATGAATGGTTCGTAAGTAACAAACTTTCATTAAATGTGGATAAAACAAAATATATACTTTTCCATAAAGTAAATAAATCAGAAAATATTCCTCTAAAATTACCAAATCTTATAACTAATAATACTTATATTAAAAGGGAAACAAACGTAAACTTTTTAGGAGTAAAACTGGATGAAAATTTACTGTGTTATTCACATATAAATAGTATTGAAGCAACACTCTCAAAAAATATCGCAATGATGTTTAAGGCTAAACCTTTTTTAAATGTAGCATCCCAGAAAAAATTGTGTTTTGCCTTTATTCACAATTATTTGCCTTACTGTAATATTGTATGGGCTAGTACTGGCTAAACAAAACTTAAGAAAATCTACAACAAACAAAAACATGCATGCAGAATTCCTTGCGAACCACTTTTACGTGCACTTGGTGCTTTAAATGTGTATAAACTCAATTTACACCAAGTATTATTGTTTATGTTTAAAACAAAAATGGGATTGTCTCCAATAATTTTTTAAACCTATTTTAATAAAATTAATCATAAATATTCAACAAAGTTTTCTGATAACAACTTTATTCTTCTCAAGTATAAATTAAATTTAACCTCGTATTCAATTAAATATCGCGGACCTTATCATTGGAAAAAATTCCCAGATATTGTCAACAAAAACAAGACTAGATTAGAGCAATTTAAAAATGAATCAAAACAATTATTACTATTCAGGGATCTTAATTTATCTGACTTCAAATGTTTATTTTAAAGTTTAATCAAATAAAAACAAATTTATTTATATCAATAAAATTTAAGTAATGATGTTAAAAATTGATCTTGTGATAATGTTAATTATGAAGTTTTATTTTTTTATTTAAAACTTTTTGTTTAAATGCTTTTTAAAGATTTTAGCGGTTGTTAGCATTTCAACAATTCTTAATTATTTGCTATTTTGAATTTCTTAATTTTCTCAGTTATTTTCTGTTTTAATTCTGATCTATATTTTATATATTTGTATTATATATATTTGCATATTACGGTTATGTAGAGTTTTTTTTTTATATGTTGGGCTCGGCGATAAGACAATCTGTGCCTTCTTTTTGCTCCTGCCATTAACTTTGATATATGTATATGCAATGTAAACATTCTTTAACGGCGAAATAAATAAATTACACCAAAAAAAAAGTGCCTTGATGAATGTCATCTAACTCAGCTTTTCACATTTCCAACATATCGTAGTAGTCGACACGTCGACTACTACGATAACAATGTTCTGATCATAACAAACGAGCCAGACCGTGCCACCTTCATCGAACACGATGATTTTCTCGGTAACACTACAATGGGCCAGGCACACTGCTTCATTGAAGGTCAACTCGCTGTTGTAGGCCCTGAAAATTTGCCTACTTTGTCATTGCGATCTCGACTTATTTGGAGCCGAGCAAACTACGCAGCAATATCCTCGCACGTTGCAGCTGTTGATTCGGAAACAAAATTCACTGGTCTATATGCAAACAATAGCTACCAGCTCCTAGTAAACGTATATAATGAAGCTATCAATCTATACATTCCATCAATAACTACTCCCTTCACTGAAAAACAGGAGCAACGGGTAACAACAGATCTTATTAAGACGGTCAAAGTTAAACGCGCCTCTTGGGCCAAGTTTATTAATGCAGGTCGTGATGCGCACCAATTACTCAAAGAATCACATCGCACCGCATGCAAAAACATTACTAAAATGGTAAAATCTGCCAGGCTTAATTACAAAGAAAGACTCTCCAGTGAGTTCCAATACAACTCAAAACGCTTGCATGCACATGTACAAAGCAAACAGAGCGTTAGGAACACTATTACATTGCTAGAAACAGCTAATAGCAGCATCACTACCGATACCGGCGATATATGCTTATTGTTGAATAACTATTTTCATTCGGTTTTTGTTTTAGAGTCCGAAGGTCCATTGCAAGCTTTCGAAAGTCGTACTGAAACAATTTGTGTTGTCGACCCAGCAAGTTTTTCTATCGATATAGTACAAAAGTGCCTCTACCACCTTGATGAAAGAAAATTAACCGGCTACGATGGTGTACATCCACGGGTCCTTAGTAAATGTGCAACTAACTTCGCCAAACCACTTTCACTTATCTATAAGTACTCGTTCGCGACTGGTGTACTTCCTGACTTGTGGAGAAAATTGAATGTAAAACCGATTTTCAATGAATCAAGATGATCAAGAAGGGGAGTAAAATAAATGCATCAAGTTACCGACCTATCTTGCTCACATCCATTTCTTGCAAAATAATACAAAGTATTCTTAAAACAAGTATAATGGAACACTGTGTTGCTAATGACTTAATTACTCCAAAGCAAGATGACTTTGTTTATCGCAAGGGTTACGTTTCAAACCTGCTAGAAACTCGGGATATCATGACAGAAGCCATTCATCGCAGCCATACAGTAGACATCATATACACAGACTTTGCAAAGGCGTTTGACTAAGTGCCGCGCAAACGCCTTCTTCATAAACTAAGAGCCTACGGTATTCAAGGCACGCTGTTAGATTGGATCTCAGATTGGTTACACGACCAAATTCAACGAGTGGTCATCAACAGCATCACATCTGAATGACTAACTGTCACAAGTGGCGTGCCTCAAGGCTCGGTCTTGGGCCAATTGCTCTTCGTAATTTTTATAATTGACCTGCCGGACAGAATTAGTCATCATATGAAACTGTATGCTGACGACAGTAAAATTATTGGCATAATTAAAAACGATTCGAATAGCATGACTCTTCAAGCCGGCATTGACAGAGCAGTGGAATGGTCACATATTTGGCTTATGCATTTCAACATTGAGAACTGCAAAGTAATGCATGTTAGCTGCACTTGTAACAAGGTGACGCACAATTACTCAATGGTCAACATTGATGGCACGCGTTATCCACTCAAAAAGACTGTACGAACGAGACCTTGGTGTGATGGTCTCCAAAGACCTTAAAGTGAGACCACAAGTAGAGTCAGCTGCATCAATTGCGAATAGAATGCTAGGACGTCTCAAAAAAACATTTCGGAGTCGTAGTTTTTATTTATGGCGCACATTGTATCTTATTTACATTCGGCCCCAACTCGAGTTTGCTGTTCAAGCCTGGTCGCCGCATTTAAAGTCCAACATTGCTATCCTCGAACAAGTCCAACATCGAGCAACAAAAACAATATCATCTATTAAACACCTGTCCTATAAAAATCCACCAACAGCTCAGTCTAACAACACTTGAAGAACGGCGTAAAATAGCAGACCTAATTGAATAATTTAAAATCACGCGTCAACTCGAACTTGTCAGTTTTTTCGTTCCACAAAAACTTTCAAACAGTAAAGCCAAGTATATTTTGAGAGGGCATAATCAAAAACTAGAACGCCAGCTTGTACGAAATTGTAAAGAACGACAAAACTTTTTTTCAAATAGAGTTGTTGTCCAATGGAATGCGCTTTCCCAAGCAGTAGTGAACGCTTCATCTATCCATGCTTTCAAAAACAGTATAACAAAGTAACTTTTAGAGACACAATTGTTGCTTTGTCTGTAGCTTCTGTGTTTTTTATTTTCGTCAGCATAGAGTGTAGTACCTCTTCATCAAATTTTAAACAGATTTTTGTATTTGTTTTTTTTTTTTGATCACTGAATAATAATAGTAATAATAATAATAATAGCAATAATAATAATAATAATATTAATAATAGCAATAATAATAATATTAATAATATTAATAATAATAATAATAATAATAATAATAATAATAATAATAATAATAATAAAATTATTCTGTTTATATGACAAAAATCATTATTTTTATGTGACTTGTATTTTTGCCTAAATGATTTAAAAAAAGTTTTAATATTTTTTTTTAATATTATTTAATAATTTTGGTTTTATAATAATACAAATATACAGGTAGGTACACCTTAAAAACACAAACACCTTAAAAACTACAATGTCATAATTTATGTTCTTGTCAAGCACTGTATGAGCTTTAACGCATAATATTATTTGTTTTGAAACTCCATATAAATACTCTCTACAAAAAAATAAAAGTTTGACTATTTTCTTATTAATAATATGTGAAAAAAGCAATTTAGAAATAACAAATAAATTAATTTTAAACTAAAAAAACACAGTTTTTGGCATGGGTAAGCATCAATTTGAAAATAAGATTGCAATTCCTTTTTTTTTAGATAACTATATTGTTGCTACAAATAAAATAAAAAAAAGTTTTCACAATATCCTCCTCTGATTGATAAAATAAGCTTTTTACATCAGTAGAGACACTTGTAGTTTTTAAGGGGTACAAAGAGTAATACAAACATTGAGACACAAAGTCAAAATTTCTTTCCAGAATCAAAAAGTTACATTTCAAATCAACTTAAAACATTTCCCCAATTGATGTTATCGCTTTCCACGTCACTTAAATTGTCTTTATATTTAGCATTTGTTTTGGTTGATGTGGCTAGTTTAATCATTATTGGCTTCATTCCATCAATTCGACAAGAAATTTTGCTGCATACTGATTTCTTTATCTCGTGGCAGACTGGGCACTCTTTAAAACCCTTTACTGCACAAATGCCATTGCAAACACATTTTAATTTACATTTATAAAATTGTTCTTTTTCTTTATCTTTTTCTTTCTTTTTTTTCTCTTTTTGATCTTTTTTTTTCCTTTTTCTAATTTCAATCAACTCAACCTGTTCAATGATGTTTTGGGCTTCCATTGGCCCATGTATGTTTGTGACACGTATATTTTTTGTTTTACTCATGTCTTTTGGCTTTACCTTGTTTACTGTAAGCAAACCTGGTATATCTTCTAGAATTAAACTTTTTCATAACTTTCTTTCATATTCATCTGCGACTGCTCGAACATAAATTTCAAATAATTAGCTGATCCATAACGATAATTTGTTTTTGCTAATTCAGGAAATGAATGTGGAGTAATTGGTGTTAACAAAACATTTGCTGATGAACGTGTGCATATTTTCTTTGGTGTACTTAGAACAAGATTGCTAGAAGGCCCTTGCTCTTGATTTTGAACCATACAGTTTGCAGCCTGTTGAAATTTATCTTGCTTCATATTATTTACATTTAAACCTTCTTTAGATATGCCAACTCTCTTTGCAGCATTAACTATGGTATCCCTTGAAGCCCATTTATCCCACATTTCTCCCAAAATTGTCAAGAAGCCTTCTCGGTTTATTGTTTGGAAAGTTGTAAAAAGTTCATCTCTTTTTTTTGTCATATTCACGATGCATGTTTTGATTAGGACTTTGATCCAACAGTTGAGTAACCTCAGTTGTATCAAGAGGACTTATAAACAAGTTAATTTTTTTTTCATTGAGGAAATGTAGAACACTGTAGTCAAATCTTGAACTGTGTCCATCTGCTAGCATTACAACAGGTCGTTGTATATTTTCTTCTGACAAATATATATCAAGCTTTTTGTGTAGGTCCAATAAAGAATCGTTATCCTGGCTTCCTTTTTCAGTAGATGATATAAATAAATTTTTTATATTTTTGACAGCTGTTTTTGAGGCCATATGACTTGTGATACCTTTACCAGCAAAAAAAACTTGTGAAACAACAATTTCACGTGAAATGTAAAATAAAAAAATATTACTTATGATTAAACCTATACTTAACATAACCATGAGGATAAAAACATTCACTAAAAACAAACACTAAAACGATTGACTAATACTTCTTAAGTGATGAAAACATGATTGGTTATTTTTTTTCTTCAGATAAATGCAAATTATTGCATAGGTACATTTACATAAATAGTTTGTGTTTTTATTACCTGCTAATGAAACAACTGGGCATATTGTTATTGATTCACGATTCTCCCTAATCATTTTTCTGCAAGGTTCCCCACGTGCAACATACGCGAGCCCGGAATTTGTTCCATCAACCCCATAATTTATGAACTGGGGTGTTTCGTCAAAATTAAAAATTCTTTTGTATCAATATCACCCTTCCACACACCAGGTTCAAGTTTTTTTGAGTTTTTGAAAATCTCACATTTAATAAGTTCTTCAGCCAACGAATCTAAAAGATAGATTCAAAATGTTTTTGCTAGTACACTGCACTCTAGGGCTAATCTAAGACATTTATATATCATCGTTTTAATTATGGAGCATACCAGCAAATAAAGTACAAAAATATATTATTAATTATTTCCTTACCTAAATGTGACTCAGCCATACCCCTTGCGCAGTTCAATACCCTGTTAATAGGTACATTTCCTTGTTGTTTTAGAACTAAGCTATGGTACTCTGCTTCCCATCTCTGCCAAAACGACTTGCCAAGCCTATAATAAATTTAAAACTTGTGTTTATAATTAAGTTATGTTAGAATTATATGGAATAGTGTTAAAAAACAAATAACTAGTGTATTATATTACATAAAAAAACTTTCATTATAATTTATTAAGTAACTAAACACTCTGCTTACTTTCCTGTCTTAACAACATGTTTTGCATTATCAGATAGTTTACCAAAATTGCGACCGCCTTGATTCGTGGTGTTGCAATAGTCTCTAATTTTTAAAACACCAATAATTAGATTAGTGACTTGCTTCCTCGATATTCCTTGATGGTACTTGTTTTTATTTTTAATGAATTCTACAATCGAGTGTTCTTCTTCTGCTGTCAAAATTAGCAGATGTTGCTTTTTTATATTAGCAGTTTTTCCATCTAATCTCCGATCAATGGTTCCTCGATCTTTGATAAAAGAAAACATACCAGTTTGCAAAGCAGCATAGCCTCTTTTTTTGTGCTCTATGCACCAAGACACAGCTTGTTGAATCTGAAGTTCTTTCATATTTATTTTTTTTGTCTGGACTTTTGCCTCTGCCTTTGAATTTGGTTTTCCAACAACAAAAGGTTCTTTTCTCACTTTTAAAATAAATTTTGGTTTCCCCATTGCAAAATTACTTATTATATTTTTATCTATAAAATACATATGGTATAAAACAATTGTGCGCATAAATAAACTTAAGTAATATTCCTATTAAATAAAAATATAATCTCTGAGTGCCCTATATGTTAAACTATCTACAAATTTTAATTAATAGTAATCCCCTAATTACAGTATATTGTATTTAGTTGTAATTTGTAAGGATTTATTTTGTAATTTTAAGGAGTTTTGGGATTGTTTATGTCTTTTCGTTTATAATAGATTTACAATAAT